CTAAAGGAAGGGGTGCCTTCGTGGAGGACTTTCTAAGGGAAACTTGCTCGTATATACGTTACACATGGGAAAAACCATGGAAACGCCCATGCAGCCAGCCCGTTCGCGGGATTCGAACCTCGGACCGAACTACCAGTGTTCAGCGTCTTTACCGCTCGGCCGCTGGTGGGCCGCCCAAAGCGAATGAAAACATATTTTAAGAGTCAGTGTCTTAGAAGGTCAGCTATGGAACACCAAATCATCATATCCACTGCGAGTGCTTAGGGGCGAAAAGAAGCACTTAAGCACATATTAGGGAAACATGATGTTCTTCTTCTCATTATAGTAATATTCTGAAAATATCAACATTAATACTTTGATTACATCGGGGATTCTTCTTCAAGTGATGCAGTAAATTAGCGTATTCTTATTAAGTGGGGAATTATGATTATTTGAAATCGGATCATCATTTTACAAAAACTTCGTTTAAGTGAGATCTGCTTAAGATGAATTTTTCTTGGATAACTTTTGCAGAACAGGTAACGTTTTTTTAGTTTTTCAAGGTTTCACGATGAAATGCCATAAAGTTTAAAATTAGATAATAAAAAGCAGCTTTAGATTGGCGAAGATTTTGAATAAAACTCTGTCGATTTCGAGGACGATCCGTCTTCGACAGGAGCAACAATATTTTTCCATCTTTCGAATTGTATTCGAAATATATGCCATACTAAGGCAGCTCTGGATAGTTTTGAATTTTACCTTGGCATATTTTTCTTCCATTTGGTGCCAGAAAAAGTGCTGTGTTTCTCATTTTTCAGAAAACACATATTTTAATTTTTTTTGGAATGGTTGAATGCATTTTTTTTAAACTTATTACGTGCTCTGTCTTTAGGCACTACACGGAAAGGAAGGCATGCCCCGTGGAGGTCTTATTAAGGGTGTGTGTGTGTGTGTGTGATTATGGCAAAGCCTCGAGGGCTATCTGTCTAAGAGGAGGGATGCCTTCGTGGAGGACTTTCTAAGGGAAACTGGCTCGTATACACGTTACACATGGGGAAAACTACGAAAACGCCCATGCAGCCAGCCCTTTCGCGGGATTCGAACCTCAGACCGAACTACCAGTGTTCAGCGATTTTACCGCTCGGCCGCTGGTGGGCGGTCTTATTAAGGGAAACTGGCTTGTATCCACGTTACACATGTGGAAAACTAGCCCATGCAGTCAACCTTTTCGTCGGGACTCGAACCCCGGACCGAACTACCAGTGTTCAGCGGCTTTTACCGCTCGGCCGCTGGTGGGCGTTTGATGCATGTTAGGAAACATTCGTCGGGAATTTTAGAATTGATCGGTTATTTAGATATTTCATCCGCGATAACTCTCATAGGAACTGAACCGATACTGGACGAGTGGGAAGCTGAGATAGGATTAAATTACACAAGTGGACTTCCTACCTATTTAATAAAGGAGATACCTTCGTGCAGCCCATTTAAGAGAAAATGGCTCGTATTCACGTCACACTTTGAAAACATATGAAAACTTTCACAGAGCTCACACACCCTTTTGCTGGGATCTGAACACGAGTCGAACTACCAATGTTAGCGATTTTATCGCTCGACCGCTGGTGGGTGCGGATATGTGAAGATATGCATATACAACTAAATGCGAGATTCGAACCCACACATATGATTTTGGGATTGATGTCAGCGTCTACTAAGCATTTCACTGTTCAGGGTAGCTTGTTTATTTATTTTGACAAGTCTAATTGATCCTCTGTTTCATTTGCTAGCAATCAGATTGTTTTGTATTATACTGGGTGTTTAAATTTCTGTCTTTTGAAAATAATTAATTTAAAACTATGAAAAGCGTAATATTTTTTTTTTTACATTTACATACCTCTGTATCGTTTCACATTATAATTTTATATTCAAGACTTTATCTGCATGCATGAATGTTACACATAAGTACATGAAAGCTATTTTTACGTAGAGCATGTAAGTATGAAAGGAGTAAATTAAATTTAAATAACATTCTGTATACTTTTTTTTTACTAAGAAAATTTATTTCCGTAGCATGGAATAATTCCATATCATCATCTTGATTTCCACACACCGTTCTTTAATGTAACCCTCTACTGAAACAAATTAAATATGATAACTGATCACATCGCAGTTTCATTGAGAATCTTTTATTGTTTTCAAACGATAGCCTTCCACATTATTTAGAATGTACCAAAATGACCTAAGCGAATATTCCCATTAAATTCACAGCGAATTTCAAATAAGGCAACAATATTATTATTATTTTTTTTTTTTCGTTGGCATTTCCTAAAGCAGAAGAAAAATTTGAATTTAAAAATCAGTTCCTGAGGGACTGATATTATGAAACTGACGGTCACAAAAATCATATAAAACAAACTACTACTTATACTACGCTGCAAAAAAGTTTTAAACTATGGCTGTAAAAACAGGAAAGCATTCGGTCGAATTTTCGGGCGCAAAATATCATCTTAATCAGTCCAAAAGTTAAACTTAACGGAAGTAATTATACACATAGGCTAAAATTAAATGAAAGAATCTGAAATTGTCTTTACGAGGAAACCAAGAAAAAAGTTATAAAGCCAAAAAGGAAATTAAAACACGAAACTTTACGACGAAATAAACGAAACCCAATAAGAGTTAGAACCAGAATAACATGTTTAAAAGCATATAAAATTCAAGTTAAATTGAAGCTTGTTTTCGGAAAAAGCTGTATGCATTTCGTAGGGTCTTATTATTTAGTCACGATACTGTTTTCTACCAATGTGAAAACAATAACATATCTTCTAGATGTTAAAAATTATGTAACAGTTAAGTATTCTTTCACAAATAATTAAAACGAAAGCATTCGAGAATTTTTAGCTGACTCCTAACGTGAATTCAAAATGAGATGAAGCCATAATAAAACCTCTGAATGCTAAACCACCATTTAAAAACAATCAACGACTTAACAGCGAAATGTAGCAAAGTAAATTTAATACAATGAACTTCAGTGTCCTTTAAACTAATAACTCCTTCATCAACAACTTAAATTTTCCATATACTTTAATAGACAATTTAAATATGTTTTTCTTTACGGGTAAAAGTTCAAATAAATAGGACATGCCAAAGAATCAACCAATATTTTGATCGACGAAAACTAAAAGAAGTTATTTCAGAACAATAAGCAGTTTTGCTTTAATTCTTCATTTTCTTTGATTTACGAAAACCAGAAAACTGAAATTTGAAGATAATTTGCTAATCATTGTAATAAAGAATTCAATGAAAAGTTACTTTAGAACTAATTAATAGCAGCAAAAATATTGTAAAAAGAAATAGTACAAGACATCGAATGTGCATGCACTAAGATTAAACAAAGCTTGGAATGTTTATTAGTACTATAAAATATTATTTAAAAAAGCTTATAAGGTAAAGTACAATTCTGTTCGAATATTCATAATCATTTAATTTTATTTCGACATTTTATAACTTTTAATTAAAAAAATAAGCAAATCAATCAATAAATAAATAACTTAGTGACATTATAATGTTTTTTGAAAACATGCGAATAATAAAACGAAAATAGCATATGCAATGAATTGCATGCTGTAGACAATGCAGAAACCCAACATTTAAAGCATCTTTTATCATGTCGTAAAACACAGATCCAAATTCATGACATAGTAAGTTCAGTTTTCATATTTACAAACAACTGAGATTCAATACGAAAAAAACAGCATACTCATGCAAGGGATAGATTTTTAAAGGAGAAGTTCAGTGCGAGATTGATGAATGAAATATCTCAGTCACATCGAGACAGATGAATGAAATTTCTCCGCCATACGCGGCCAAAGGGGAATTACGCACAAAAATCAATATTGACGAGAATTATGCGGGACAGTAGTGAATACTTAATGGGTATTCTAATGTATTAGCTGAAGCTCTAGTTACGGTTTACCTTAGTTTCAGAGAAGAGGCAACTAAATGACATTCTATAACATAAATCATTTTTATGCAGAATTAAGATTTTGAATAAAAAAAGACATTTCAGTTAAGTAGCTCAAATTATCAATCTAATTAAAAATTATGCAGGTCAATTAATAATTACTCACTGATAACTTGAGAAAGAAATAGCTTTCTCAAGAGGCTCATCAGTTACAGTTACTTTAGAAAAAGCAACTGTAACTGATGAGCAACTTAGGCTACTATAGGGAAAAATTACCATTCAGATTTTTTTTAATTCGCAGTAGATTCCCAAGTCTTAGAAATTCTATTTACATGCTTCAAAATTGTAATTAAAAATTAAATTAAAAAATTAAATTAGAAAAATATAAAACGAGACTAGCTTTGATTTAGATCATTATCAAAATAAAAACGGAACAACTTAAATACTAAAAATGAATATATTTTTGCATTATTAGTGTTAAAGGATATTATTAAATGAAACAACATTCAAGATTGTTTCATTATTAGTATTAAGGAATATTATTATATAAAACAACATTCAAGATTGTTGCATTATTAGTAATAAGGGATAGTATTAAATAAAACAACATCCAAGATTGTTGCATCATGAGTGTTAAGGGATATTATTTTATTAAATAAAACAACATTCAAGATTGTTGCATTATTAGTGTTAAGGGATATTATTTAATAAAACAACCTTCAAAAGTTAGCTTTTGAACAAACACTTAAGTAATTCATTAAAGAAATTAAAATAAATATTAAGAATAATTTCATTTACTTATTATAAATCTTTATGATAAGACATAGTCGTATATGTTTGAGCTGCATTAAAACACTGTATTCTTAAAAGCATAAAAATTCATTAAACTTATTCATTTGATGTTTACAATACACGCTGTATCCTAATTCATAACATTTTATTTACACTAACTTGTATCGAATAAAAACATTCCAAGCTCTGTTTTATGCGTATTACTAAAAACATATTTCTATAATCATAGATTATATTTAACACTGCAAATACATAATAAAACTGATCTTACCATGAGAGGCTGTAGCGTCGAAGGTTTCCTTCTGGGAAGAGTAGCCAGTTTTTTAGTATCTTGTACAGGAATTGCAACTTCATTATCCTCATTCTGCAAGAAAAACTTTGGCGTAAGATTTTCTCCACCAATCGACTCTGCGTTTGTAAAAGATGAACTTCGGCATAAACCAAATGGACGTTTGCTGGAATTGGAGGAACTGTCAGAATTCGGTTTTAACAAATCAAAAAATTCTTTGAGTTTTACGCTGCTAGTTTTCTGGGCTCTCGGCGGTTTCGGAGATTTTTCTTCCATATTTAGCACTCTTCTATCAGTTTCCAAAGAAAATCTTCGTTTATATTTATCAAAATCTAAATTAGCCAAAATATTTTTTACAATTTCAAGTTCTTCTGAAGGACTACTGTCACATTTCGCTTCATTTTTAAGAGCACGTTCTTTATTTAGCTGTAATCTATCAGTATCTGGACATGATGGAAGGTTAGAAGATAAAATTTTAGGTAAATTTGGTTTAATTGTGACAGCAGGCTTTTTTATTTTATGATCGATTTTAGATTGAACATCCTTTTCTACAGGTTGAACGGAAACATCGTTCTTATAAGTTTTTAATTTTACTTCAGCTTCAGCAGCATCGATTTTTACAAGACTGGACTGCTTTAATGAGCTTCGAGATGGAGTTTCATTATTTAAACTATTTTTGTAACCAGATGTAAAATAATTGACAGGATATTCGCGCTTTTTTTCCGTTGATTCTCTTATCGTAGAAATATTTTCACTTAAAACTGGTTGATAACCAGTTGCTGTCGGTTCTGTACCGACAGAATTTTCTTTTAATTCTCCAGAGATGTAAATACCGAATTCATTTAAGTTCAATCGACTTTGTGTCTGATCCACAGAAGCAGAGCCCGAGCACAATCGTGACGAGCTCTGTGAATTGCATTTATGAGCGAGCTCTGGAGGTGACACTTGTAGGCTGGCATTTACAAAGTGACGTTCTTGTGTTTTTGGAGAGAACTGCAAAGTCGAACGATATGTAGCAGGTTCAGATTCGATGGATGTCTCAGACGACACCAGAGTATATTTTATCCTTTCTGAATTATCTAGTACATGTTTAGTTTCAAGAGGCTTTCTAGTCGATTCTGTTTTGATGTCTTGGCGCTGAGCCACCGAAGAAAGACCACGCTCATTCAGCCATTGCGTCTTGTCACTTACATCATGGTTGCTGACGTTAAGAAACGGTAGACTAGGGGCTTGTTTTCTCCGAATAGATTTTTGGAAAACATCATCATTGTCACGGTGTGAGGCAGTGCTCGACGTTTGATCAACCGCAGAATTGCGCTGGTCAGACGGTCGCCTGGTCACAGTTTCGGGCGACGCAAACTCATCGCATATCTTCTCGAGGGCAGTTATAATGTCATCCAGGGGAGATTGCTTCGACGTTGTAGAGCTGGCTGGGTGGAAGCGGTTCGTGCTAAAGATAGAGGGCCTAAAATCGGCTGTTGCTTCCTCGTGGCACGTGACGCCACTTTTCCCACCGTCCGTGAATGGAGCAAAATTAGAAGTGGTTTTCGTTTGGCACACTGTAGAAGTTGGAGCTCCTCCGCTACAACTACCTTCTTTGCTCTCTAGTACTCTGGCAAGAGTCGTTCGACGCTCGGGAACAACGGGAGGAGATGCATTTTCTAAACTGATTCTCCGTTGTTTAGGAGTTGTAGGAAGTGATGAGTGGTAGACGTTGCAATGCAGGAAAATATCTCCTTCACTACAACGGCGAGTAGGTGGAGGTGACAAACATCCACCCGAAGTTACTTGTGGTTCATCCGCGGAACTTATAACCTATGGAACAAATACAGTAATAGCACTTTTTATTACACATATGAAAGAAACACAACATGAAATCAAAGAGTAAAATGAGTATTTTTTATATTTTATTGTTAAAAACAGATGCATTGCAATAGCTATGGCTACCTTTTTTATTGAAATTAAAAATTCTCTATCTTCTAATTTGGCTGTATATTTTCCAAGTCGTGCAATGAGTGCAATTATTCATTAGCACACAATATACAGTCTTCTAAAATTTAAATACGTTTTTAGAATAGCTGAATAATATTGTTTGCGTAGTCAAGGACTAAATTTAAAAACGATATTTGCATTGCAAATGAGTTAAAATCTTGTAATCGGATTTTTCAGCCTCTAAATTAGAAAGCCGATATTTTAATTTCTACATAGTAAAATGTGCATTCAAAAAACTGAAATTCATTTTATGAAAACAAGAAACATTTATGCAAACACACATATAACAAGTAAACTTTAAAAAAAAGGGGGGAATAAATTATTATGACGCATGGGTTGGAAACATCTTATTTCTGTATGATAAACCAATTCTTGGCGTGGTGGAAACAATAAGAATTGCTTTCAAGTGTTGATAAATAGATAATTATTAAGATTAAAAGGGGCTTTCTTAACATGGATCAGCACTTTTAATTCCAATTATGTCGGTACCATTTCTAATTATTTCGGCTTTCATAAGGTTGAAAACATTCATTCATGGTTCGTTACTAATACATATATAAAGTCGATCAGGCAGATTCTAATTAATACAGAAAGTTCTTTATACTTATGAAATCCATTGCCAACTGCTTCTACAATTACTTCTACAATTACTTTGCTTGAGCTGATCCCTTTAATTCCTTTTCCTGATCGTATACTGCTGTGTTATACATGAATTAAGTTTTATATTAGAGTTTCATTTTAAACCAAAAAGTAATGATCGCAAAGCTTTGTCAGATTCATTCGAATGAAGAAAATTTTAAATGAATGCAAAATGTAATTTTATCAGTAATATGAACGATTTAAAAATAATGAGAAGCTAATCGTAATTAGTTTTCCCTCTAAAGAAGTTAAAAAGAACTGGCTCGTCTAAGGAATCGAACCTGAGTCATTTGTTATTTACTTATTGGAGATATTTGCCATGTTTTTCTACTTTCTACTTCAATGCCATACATAAAGTATGCCCAAACACAAGAACATACAACTATTTGAATTCATATGACATTTACTGCATGACTAATAGGCTAGATCCAGTGTAAGTAAGTAGAACAATAAGTATGCTTATTTAACCGATATATATATATATATATATATATATAAAACTTGACTTCAGATATCTAAGCATCAGGGACTTCAAATACTAAAAAGCACAAGGTAGGACATAATTATGCCGTAAGAAATGACCAGTTTGTAGATTTTCGTTAAAGCAAGTAGACTGGATCAACGGGGCAAAAATATGCTGTTAGAAACTGACAGAGATTTTTTGCATGTAAATGTTGCCAGTCAACAGTGGGTTGTTTCCTGTCAATACAACCTAATTGCTGCTAATGGAGAACTGTCTATTTACCGCAGATTAATCGGTTTTGCCATTCGTCCGGCATTATCCAATGAAAGAACACTCCTCACAGAACATAACATTTCATTTGCATATTCATTTGCTATGAAATAGGTACTGCAAACATCTGTTGACCCCTGAATTATATACATCCAGTTTCTCTGAGCCCCTTCCTGCCCTCAGTAGTGCTGCTATTAATTGGGATGGCAGCTTCTGAACTCCGGAAATGAAATGTTGCTTCTAGTAGAGTGTTGCTCAAAAAGTTATCTAGTCTAATGAAGCCCTAATACACAAAAAGGAATTTCAATATTAACAGTGGAGTTTTATGTTTTTTATGAAACACATTTCTGATGCAATAAAAATTCATAAAAAAATTGACAGAAAATGGTTTAAAATAACTGATTTTGATCTTTAAGATGAATAAAAGTTTTAGAAATAATAATTAACCTTCGAACTGAGCTATATATTAAATTTAATTAGTACATACTATACATTAAATTTAATTATTTATTTAGAACTATTATAGTTATACATTAATTATTATTATTATATTATTAATTATAGTTAATATTGTTATTTATATTTAATTTATTGTTATTATTGATTATTATTATAATTAGTATTATTAATTGCATTGTTATTAATTACTATTATTGGTTATTAATTATATATTAATTTATTTAGAACTTATTTAATTATTATAACGTATTGTCTTTTATTTCCCAAACATTGCAACATATATATAATGACAACGCCTTTACGCAGAAGAATAGAAATATAATTTGAATATTTTGAATATTATTTTTTCTACTAATTCACTTTTATTAAACAAAATCCGAATGTATAAAAATATGCAATATGAAAATTACTGACATGCAGACATTAAGCTTTTGAATAAAATGTGTTTCTTGTATCTCGGATATGAAATTAAACGGTTTTAAAAATGTAGATACAGAATGCATAAAGAAAGGGGAAAATAAATAAACAGGAAATAATTTTGTAATTCTTAGCTTTTTCTCTCACGAGATTTAAATCTTTTGCTTCTTACACCACACATATCAATGAAACATTAAATTACAACAAATCGCAATACAACAGAGCCAATGCCAACACAACGCTTTACCCCTTCTTTCACTTTTTAGCATCATTATATGATATACGTATTTCGAAGAAAGGCAATAATTTTTGAGGGACAGACATGACGTTCATTTAATACTTGATGACGGTCACTTTTTGAAAACTAATATATGTGCAAGAATAAAGCTTAAAAAATTTTGAGATGCTTCTATATCCTTAAAACTGAAACAAAGAGTTTCTCTAGAAAGTAAGAATATTCCCATTTCGATAAAGTATATTCGACTAAATGCAATTGAATGCATTCAGATCACAGAATTTCAGCACAAGACAATCGTGCTCTACGTAATATTCCGCAAGCATACCACGTGGCCAGCAGGATATATAAGCGACAAAAATAAATAAATGTCTAAATGGAAACTAGATGTCTCTGTGACATGAAAAACAAAGAATGAATTTAGTACAAGAAATTACAGGCACTAACAACAGACCTAAAAGCTTCAATATACGCAGCTACATAATCAGGAAACAGTTTAAACAAATGTTTAGTTACTTTGTCAAGTGACTGTATAATTACGTTAAAGTACATAGTTAACGCAAATTATACAAAACTCGCAACAGAATGGTTTTGTTCGTCTAACTGCTAAAGATGACTCAATAAACAGCAGTTATTGTAAGGTTGCCAAGTTTTAATGATATTTTTGTAAGGACTCGTTTAAGCGAAAACCCACTGCATGGAACGTATACAAAATGATACCAAGTAAACACAATTTCGATGCCCCGAAACGCTAGTTGAGGAACTTTTCTGTTTCTTTTCGACGAGCATGGAATATTCTGTGAAAGTGAAAGATAAAGGCAGTGACAGCCACAGCAAATGTCATACCTGATATCGTCTCACAGAAACATCTTGAGGAGCCACAGGTGGTGATGGTCGTGCAAGGAATTCTTTTCCAGCTGCTCCTGACCGGGCCTCGATCTCCTTGGCGCGCGCTTTCACGGAGATGGCGGGCGGCGGAGAATCCAGGCGATTTGCCTCTGACGTCATCCCCCCAACATGGATGACGTCACAGAGTCATGTGGCAGACTTCTTCAGATGATCTATTCGTCGAGTTAAGAGAGTTTTCGAAAAAAATCCTGGCAAAAGGGGAAAAAAGCATGCACTTCACAACACAAAGAAACTTTTACATAACAGTATAAATATTTGCTCGCAGAAATATAAATTTTAGACAGTTGCAATTACTTTGGAACACAGACACGTCGTAGATGAAAATGCCATAAATTGATATGTAAATGTAATAAATCAAAAATTAGCAAATACAGTCGAAATTAGAAATTACGTTAAGTAATATTTTGCATATACTCCGGTAAACATTTTGCAAAAAATACCTCTGCACTGTATCTATAAATAGGCTAAACAAGTCAAACAATCCACATAATAATTTATAAAAGTAAAAAAAAAAAAAATATTGCGAACATGAACTAACATTTTTGAGTTATTATCAACAGCCTATAACAAAGCAACTAGGTAAGGTGATGGTCATGTTTTGTTTGTTCGAATATGCAAAAACACTCAAAGTCCACCTTCCTAGAGGGTGGCATGCCTTCGCGGTCGGCTTTCTAAAGAAACTCTCCCGCATTTACGTTACGCATAGGAAAAATAGTGAAAATACACTTGTAGCCAGCAGGTCAGTTATGCCCATGAGTTAAAGAAGACATACAGAAATTTCAACTTAATTACAGTAATAAAATTAAGGTAAATAAATCAGCAAGAAGCGATGACGCAATCAGTAAGACAAAGGTTTGGAATTGTTCTGCGAGTTACAGCGCACTTACTTCTTCTGGCAAATGGCATTAATTACAACAAAAATTACACATGCAAAACATTTATGCGATGGAATTAAAAAAAAATCTAAAAAAAGAGGTAACGTACTTTTGATAAAAATTAGGGTAGGCTGTTTAAATGAGGCAAAGCACACGGCAGCTATCTACTTAAAGGAAGAAATGCATTTGGGGAGAATTTTCTATGGGAAACCAGCCTAGTAGAACACTTCTGGCAGAAACTAATATAAATTTGAAAGGCGAGATTTAGCTATTTTTAAGACTGTATTATGTTGTTCTACCAAAATTTAACTTTCCTGTCATGCTTTATGAAATTATAATAAACATTCTTGCATTACAAATTCTATTTTCAGAACGATTTCAGAAGCTAGACCAGGTAGAAAATCAAACTTGTTTATGTATGTATCTAATTTTGAATTTTTATTATGAATAAACTAGAGTTCCGAATCCACGCAACATGATCAGTATCTTACTTACTATGTCCGTATTTTATTATGCGACAAGAGCAGAAAATTCCACTAAAACATTGGTTGCCTCATTGTACTATAAGGCCTCTGTAGTCTGAGATAATTCATTTCGACTTTTCCAACAGAAGCGACTGAGGTTTTAAGGGTACCCAATCGCCAAATCCTGGGTGTGGAGAATCCTCATCCAACAGCCTTTTAGTTCGGGCGCCATTGTAGAGACATTAGGTATTTTTTGGAAGCAGAAGAGATGAAAAATAAGCAACGCCTTCACCGGGAATCGAACCACGGACCTCTGGATACCGGTGCAGCGTGCAGAACCACTACACACCGAAGGCACGCTAGGAAAGCGGGAGAAATACCTTATAATATTATGTAATAAACAGTTTCATTGACATGAAAGTCTAAATTAATTGTTTGTAATTTAGAGCATTTTGTAATTAAGTCAGAAAGTTTGAAGAGTTTTCATTAAACATCCCTTTTTTCTTTCCTTGAAATCAGCTTTTCTTTCAGCTCTTTATAAGAAACTGTACATATGGACATGGAAACAAATTTTGCCCTACTAGTGGCCGGGTGTTTAAAAGCGAATGCTAGGAGTTTGATCTGGGTTCGATCCCAGAAGAACGGGCTGGCTGCATGGTTGATTTTCTATGCGTACGTTAAATACGAACCAGTTTTCCATAGAAATTCCTCCATGAAAGCACCTTTTCCCTCAGGCAGATAACCCTAATGTGCTTTGTCATACTCAAATAACTTAACGAAAACTAATTATTTGTAAACTGTAAGCAGAAACATTTAGCTGAAAAATCCGTTGTGCGCATCGCAATAGCAAATTGGATCTAGAAATAGAGTTTGTTTGTTTAGTTTATTGCAAAGCAGTCAAAGCACAGATACCTTCCTTGGGAGGGGAGGGGAACTCTAGGAGAAATTAGGTCGGACTCATATTACCAATAAGAAAAACGCGATCCATGAAGTAGTTAGTTCATCCAGCCCGGATTGAACTACCAGTACTGAGCGTTCTTAATCAACTCAGTTATTTTAGAGGATGCAGGAGTAATGAAAAGAAACTTTGAGCATATAACTTCTAACAAATGATTTCTTAACTACATGCGTCATTGATAGCCAGTGTCAATTAAAATCTAAATATGATAAAATGTAACAAAATTTTCCGCTATTTCTCTTCTAGATTGTGCTTGCAGTTGACACTACTGACGGTTTAACTTCTAAAATTACTGACGGTCTAACTAAACTAAATCCGCAAATTTTGTTTAGCAGCCTGCGAACGTTTTGTCGAATCTGCATACAGCGCAATCAGGACTGTTTGCAACAAACGCCAGAAAAGGTAGTAAGTAGACCCCATACTTTATTGTAGATGCGTTTATTTATTTATTTATTTATTTATTTATTTATTTTTTTGAAACACTTTGTTGACTTTTTAGGTGCGTCAAGTTCAGCAAGTTATGTCATTTTCTACCCGCATTTTTAGCTGTTTCACAATTTTAGGATCTTGTGTACTTTGCAGACGTAGCTTGTCGGAACTATAAGACGTATCAGTACTTAATTTTATTTCAAACCTCTACCGCAAAATCGTATTTCACCATTTCTTTTTAAGATTATGTCCCCAAACTGTCCAATGGCGTTTTCTCCCCCCATTGCGTGGCGTTCTATAATAAACTTTTTTAAGACTTGTAAAAATAATAAGGAACGAAATTTAACTGTGCACTATTATTTGTGACTTTATATTGCTATCTATTATTGTGGATCTATTATTTGCGTTTGTTACGTGTCCTAAACAGCCGTCAAATTAAGATTTGTCAACTCTTTTTCTTAAAACGTAATTTAACTACATACAGATTCACTATACAGGAACGCTTAGTAAATGCGGGTATAATAGTTTGTGTTTTATTCTGAGCTCAGACATGAATTTTACATATTACAGTAGAAATGTTATAGGGAATTTATGACTTCACGGATATAAAAACAACACCCAGCTGCATTCTTTCATAATAGCAAAATAAAGGGATCATTAAGTTAAAATAATACCATTTCGCAAAGATCCTTTAGCAATTCATATAAAGAAAAGCGTCTGTGACAACACTAGTAATGGCAGATGAAAGAGGAAAATTAAAAATGACTTGACAAAGCACTTGTTGGGAGGAAAATAACAAAAAAGTGCGTTCCAAATAGGAGACGCTTGCAGCAAATGAAATGACAATTTGACAGATAGTAAAGCGGAAAGAAAAATGTTCTCCTGTTGTCAAAAGCAGACGTCTTTATGTTCTTTATTTTTATTTAAACGTAATAGATTTAACTGGAGTATTTAAATTACATGAAATGCATCATGCAATAAAAAACACACTTCATGTGTACTTCCAATTTTCTTTAAATTTATTATACTAAATTTTAGTTTTTTATTATTTTGTCTTATTATTTTTTTTTTTTTTAATCTTATTTTTCCCTAAAGATTTAAATTTATACTATATATAAAAAATATTATAAATAAATAACTGAAAGATATCTGCATGAACTTTATATAAGTCTTTTATTGCATAATATTATACAGTAATTCATTTCTTCATTGCATTAGGCTCAAAGACCTAAATTTTATTTTAGACGCGAACCCAGATCATGTTTATTTATTGCACAAAATTTATTTTAAATATTTATTTTTATATATTTTATCAATTTTATTTTGACTTTTTAAAATTAATTATTATTATTATTATTTTTTTCAATGGCGGGCACTTGCCTATGTCGACATCGGCGACTCCTAAGGCCCGATGTGGTGGTCTATTATGGAGGCATCTAATAGGTGGACCACCTTTGCCTTCTATGAAGAAACAGACAACTATATCCATGCCTTCTCCGGGATTCGAAAGCGGGCCCTTTGGTATCGCACTCAGACTCCCCTAACCACTATATGGTCTAGGCGGCAAATTAATGTCACTAATATTAAATGATTGATTTCAATGAAATATGAGTATTAACTAATTAAATAATGCATGATATAATTAATAATATAAATTAATTGTTATTAATATAATTAACAATATAAATTAAATAATTTTAACTAAACATTTATACTAATTAATTTAATTTTAGGCGCTAAACTTGATGACGTTTATGACATTTATTCAACTTAAAATTTCTAACCAGATTCAAAGATATCTATTTTTGCTTTTAATAAGCTTGCTTTCAATATCTTGCGCTCCAAGAACAATCGGATACGAAACTGAAAACTTATGCTTTATTTTTATTTTATTTTATTATCTTTTAAGTTTGTTTTGGATCCTGCTCAGTGGCATTTAAGCACTGAACCCATGCTACAAATTCGTCAACTTTTGTGCCAGGGATCCGTACAGATTTGATAAAAAGCCATCAGTTTTAATGGAAATCAGAGAAATCAGCTTTATATCCTTTCATTGCGTAATAATCAAATCGTGGTTTGCACTGAATCAACAAAGAACAATAACACAACAAGAAGATCTTGATTCAACAGCAAGCTCAAACAATGAAATATTAGAAAGCTGAAACAAAAGCTTTTAAGCGCATCACATGGCACGGCATCGCGTAACAGGATTTATTACAAGAGCTTAAATATTGAAGCTATGGTATTTTTTATGCATAATGTAAGATCGCATTTTGCACTCCATATCCAATTGTTTCTACATAACAAACATGAAAAAAGAGTAATGCACTTTTTAGGCGTAGCTTGAAACAAAGTTAAAAACTAAAAGCCGCCAATGTTTCTCATTTTATGATTCAAATGAACTACTTGGAATCGTTTGAAAGTTGTGTTTACATTTTTTCAAAGTTATTTTAAAATTTTGA